AATTTCAAGTCATATGCACACTTTATCAGGCACAATTGGTGTGGTAGAAAACAGCAAACAATGACTGTTTGCAATTACACAAGAACCAGGGCAAGAGCCAGGCTCACAGATGATGCTGCTGAGCTTTCAGACCAGAGTTTTTAACTCTTAATAGCAATTTCCTGTCTTTTTAGGTTTTTCAGGCCAAGTGCTGTGTCATATCAAGCTAAGCACCTTTAGGACCTCTGCTCTAGTAGTGCTCCATCTGTACTCTATCTCTTTTTCATTAATAATTACTTTTTAAGTTCTCTACTAAGCAAATCCACCTTAGCTGTTCACTTGGTTGCGTAGGTTTGATGTCACCCCCTGGCCAGTCTTTTTCTCCTTTTCCTTATCACCAAACCATCTGCCTAAGCGTCCTCCAGATCTGCCAGAACAGTGCCCAAAAAAGCTCCTTACAAAATCACCCGATGACACATCCAGAAGAGCTGACTTCAAAATTACCCTGGTGTATAATATCTGCCAGGTCACAGCGTGTCCCTGAGCCTTAAAGTCCTCTGTGCCACCAGCAAACTGCTTCTCCATCGTTCAGATGTCCTGTATGGGGATGGGAATCTCTGTTCTCCTTGCTCTTTCTCTGCAGGACAGGAATGGGCAATGCTGCATCCCTAAGGGCTTTAAATTAGACCTGCTCAGTGCTGGGAGTAATGAAGAATGCTTTGGGAAATTAATTATCCTATGGACCAAGCTGGGACATGCTCTGCTCTGGGATATCCAATGCCAGGACAAGGGGCAATGGTCCCAAGCTGGAGCACAGGAGGTTCAAGCTGAAGATGAGGACAAACTTTGTCAGTGTGAGGGTTATGGAGCATGGCCCAGGCTGCCCAGAGAGGTTGTGGAGTCTCCTTGTGTGGAGACACCCAAAGCCCTGGCCGTGTTCCTGTGTGACTGCTCTGGTGATCCTGCTCTGGCAGGGGTTGCACTGGGGGAGCTCCAGAGGGCCCTGACAACTCCTGGCATGCTGGGGTTCTGTGATCTCCAGTGAAGACTACGGAGTTAAGCACATTTATACAAGCTCCAATATTGCCCCTCATTACAGCTGTGGTCCAGTTTAAAGAGCATTTGTTTAAAGCATACCCCTGCCAGCAGCCAGGACACAGCTCGAGGGCACAAGCAGGAACGGTGCCTATGGGGGACCCTATGGGTGCAGGGATGTGTCCACATAGAACCATGGCATGGGACAGCGGGACAGGGTCATTTCTGTGACACTTGCCTACAAGATTGTCCATGCAGAGTTAGGGCAAGCAGGGACCCACAGTGTCAATTTGCTCAGGTCTGTAGGTGTGCTCATCCCAGCTGTGCATGAAGTTGCCACGGGAAAGATTTTCTGCTGGAGCAGTTTCCCCAAGAGAAACTGTGGTGTCTGCAGATGAAAGTTTCCAGAGGAAAAAAAAAAAGTGTTGCTAGTGCTTTTCACATTACAAACTTACTGAGCTATTTGATTACAAGTCCGTTTGGTCTGAATGTGTTGGGCTCAAATCAAAAACTTCTCACAATGCAATAAAACCATGATCTGCAGTTTCCTAGCAGCAGGATGTTTCCGGAGCAGGGAAGGGTGTGAATGCAGCCCTGCACCACACTCAGGTCTCTGGTCTGACTCCTTGTGAGGCCACCAGCTCCCACCACACAGTAAATGTTTTCCTCTGATGGGTTTTACCCGTGTCACCATGAGAGGTGTATGTGCACTGCAGGGAATGGCACACAGGCAAGGGGAAACGTGGCCAAACTCCCCCATCCCAAATTCTACCAGGGTGCAGGAACACAGTTCCCCATTGCACCAGCCCAAAGCTGTCACAGGGGGAGTCTGTTCAACTGACTTCAAAGTGTTTCATTTGGATTGAAAATACTGAACAAAACACATGCTAGACCAGGTTTGCATGCATCAATAGTACCTTTTTTTCCCATACCAGCTGGCAAAGAGAAAAATTAAAGACAAGCTTCCAGGTACACACAGCATTCCTCAGATCAAAAGGCATCAATTTCCCTTCCCAAATCCTGGCTGGCTGATGTGCTGGAGCTATGGCAGCTGCCCCATGACCACCACAAGGAACAAAACCACCCCGAATGGACAGCTCGGTGGAGAACCTTCCTCTGTTCCTGCATTCCTTCCAGCACCAACCTCTGCTCCCTTCCAGGAGGCCACAAGCCCCACCAGGACCAGGGCCACCTGGTGACCTCCAAGCAGAGCGATTCACACACTGAAGAGCCTGCAAAATACACATCCCTTCTGCTGCCACCTACACCAGGTTAGAGAGATTACTGCTTGCCATCCCACTGTAAATAACCATAATGCACAGCATTGAAACTCTGAGGAGTGATTTCTTTACATGGGATTAGACAGGATGACGAGCAGTAGCTTTTTTATGACACTCCAGTTTCCCTGAAGGTTGGAGACTTTTTTTTTCTTGTTTAAAATAAATTAAGCAGCTCGCAGACATTGAAGCACACTGTAATTTTGGATCACGCCAGATCCGAATGCAAAAATGTGACCTTATGGGTCAGAACATTACTCAGAAACCTTCCAGATGAGGAGGGGCGGCAGATGGCACCTCAAGGGCTCAGCAAAGAGCTATTCTCGCAGCAAACACAAAGTCAGCCCGGCCCCGTGGGCTCCCTCTCAACTCCCAGCAGTGCTAAATACATTACTGCTCACTGCAGATGATTTGTGGGTAAGAAACAGCAACACGAGAGCTTCCTTCGCCCGACCTCCCTGGCCCCGTCGCGGCAGCACAACAGATGCGTCTGCCCAGATCATGGTGACTGAAGAGCTCAGATAACGACGACCACCAAACCCCCAGACCCATCACCTCTGCACAGGACTGGCCGGCAGAGCTGAGCCAGTAAAGGCTCCCAGCAGGGGCAAGCGCTGCTGGCAAGACCAGGGATGGAGCCCTGGCTGCAAGGAGACAGCCACTTCACTGGGCCCAAACGAGGCATCCAAGCCCCCTGCAATGCCCCTGTGTGCAGCCAGCCTGCAGGAAAGCCTTTGAGGGGACCATCCCCTCCCTCCCACGGGCTGCCAAGACTTCAAACTCCCTGTGAAAACCCCACAACCCTGTAACTAAAGCTTTGCTCCTGACAAGCAAATGCAAAGAAAAGAGGGATGACCTGAAGGTGGCTCTCCTCTGAGCTTCCCTGCAGGAAGAAGATGCTTAAATGCTCCCAGGCTGGCTCCCATGACAGCATCCCACCATTTAAGAGCCATTCACCCAAGATCTGCCTAGATCATTGAGCCATATAACCCCAGCACTGCAAAAGTGAGAGGTTTCTGCTCTCGTGCTTCAACCACCAGCCCATGTCCTTGCAGCCCGGTTACCCTCTCCACATGGCTCTCAGGACTGTGACTTGCAGGTCACAGCAACAGGGAAGTCAGGAGGGCATCGTCATGCCCTGGCTCGCTTCTGACTCACAGGCACATCCTCCTCATTGTGCCTCAGTTTCCCCTTTTGAACCAAAATTGCCCATTGCTGGAGGGTCTGGTGGGATCCTGCAGTGGGGGCATGTGGCAGATCTGACCATCACTACGGGTCAGGAAGCTCCCCCCCCACTTGCAACCTGCTCCAAAATACCCTGGGCGGACAGGGGGAACAAGAAAGGGTTTGCAGAATCCCAACATCACGGCCTGCCCAGACCTGCTGTCCTGTGCAGGGGAGTGCACACAGAGTAAAGCAAATGTTTCCCTTTTCCTATACAACCACTACACTCCAGCTGCCATGGATGTCACAGCTCTCGGTCACCAGAGCTGAGCAAGCCATTAAAGCACAGCAGAAGAAAGCGAAGCACTTCATAACATCTTGACAAAGACAAGTCTTCCCTTCCCAAGATCTCACAAAACGCAGCCAGCTCCCTTTCAGTCACTTCTACTGAGGGGCCCAAAGCTTGTGAGTGAAATATCAGGCTCCAAATATATGAAGAAATGCAGGAGTGTCTGATCCTGCTGTCAGGATGGCGCTGACAAACACCCATCCCAGCATCTCTGAGTCACGGCACAGGATTAGGAGACGTCACACCAGCCTGACGTGACATGGGGACGCACAGTGAGCAAACCCCTGAGGAGGCAGCTCCTGCCTGGCCGCCCCAGGAAGAAATAGAGGAGACAGGGAAGGAACAAGAGTCCATGGGCACGCAGCACATCGTGCTTTGGCCCAAATCCCAGCCACTCAAGGTGAACCACTTTCATCCCGAATGTTTTCATCCAGCGTTCACAATAGCTTATTCTTTCGCAGTGCTGCTCAGCAATGTTTGCCTTTCTCCTCTGCGCCCTGGGGATCTTTCCCAGATCCAAACTTCCAGCCCTGTGAAAATACAAGGCCATGAAGCCAGGAACACAGTAAAGTCACTGGAAAAGGTAAAAAAACCCTGCAGTGATCAGTGATTAAGGAGGTCCAGTCACTGGGAACCAATTTTGCAGTCTCCTTGGCTGCTCCACGACAAAAACGTAACCGTGGCAATGTCCAAGTGATTGCTAATCTGTTTAAAGCATTTAGCCACGCACCAGCCGCATATGTTTTTAGAGCTATGATTATACATCTTCCAGACTGAGCTTCCTTATTTTATTTGAGGGCTTCAAACCTGGGCGCCTGACGGCAAAAAAAAACAAGATGCTTAAAAATATAAAGACAAAACAGATGGCAAGGAAATCTGCCCCCGGGCAGAAGAACCCCCGAGATAAACTGAAAGTAAGACGCAGCAAGGAAGACCCACCTACAGCACACAGGGGGAACGGGAAAAGCAAACCTCTCAGTCCTGCCCAGCCTCCCCCTCAGACTCCTTTTAGCAGCTTCTTATGACCATATTCTGGCTACAACCGTCACATTTCCTTTCCAGACCTCTGGCAAATTAATTAAAAAGGAAGTTAAAATCAGCCCGTTCAGTGCTCCTTGCCCCAGCAGAAAGGGCTGAGTTGTCAGTAAGTGTTCAGCTCCCACTACAAAGTTCATTTGGAAAACAGCAACACTCACCTCTGCAAGGTAAAGGATGCAGAATTTCCGATCTTCTGAACCTACAAAGAAGGAAAAACAGGATGAAAATTAAGCTGCAACTGCATTTCTGCAAGCAGAGACACTGGCAGAGGAATTGGCTAAGAGACAGCATTTAATGAATATTTATTGTTGTCATCCTACAGTGCCAGGCTGTGATCTGGGAGTGATGTATGCTGCATCTGCGGGGCCGTGCGCCGGGCAGGCTGCATTGCATGGTATCTTGCATGGCCTCACTGTGCTATCACGGGGTCTCCTTTGAGTTTGTCCTTTTGCAGAAAGGTTTGTTTCATTCAGATGCCATGCACAGGCTCTCCTGCCTGCCCTGCAATGCCACGTGTAGCCCAATTCCTTCACAGGGGCTGAGGAGGCCCTGCCAGGTTTGGATCTCTCCCACCTTATCTCCATGGACACTTTGCTCCCAGGAGGACCAACCAGAGCAGCTCCTGCTCCTGTGTCCTTGTTCATTCCCAGCGTCTCACCCCAAGCCCGTGGTAGGGTTGGCGGTCACTGTGTCTCGTGCTGTCTGTCCCAGCCTCCATCAGTGCCCATGGTTGGGGTCAGTGCCTCTCTGAGGAGATGGGGCCAAACCCTGGGGCATAGGGAAGTGGCTGACACAGAGCAGGATGGGCTCTCCCCACTGCCCTATTGGGCTGAGGACAAATTCCCCAAGCTCCCACCACCATGGCATCACTCAGGAGACCTGGCCAAGGGACTTGCACTTCCATAGCTTCGGGAAAGGACATGGTGCTGGAGGCACCAACGTTGCAATCTTGCTAAGTCATGGAGCAGCCCAGTTCAGCTCTCCATCTTGCTGGCCCAGGGGATATCTCACACTCTGACTGCTCCATCAGGCTGGTTCCCGCATGGCTAGCATCCCCCATCCCCAACAAAATGGCATTCCTGAGGATCTGCCCTGGTCTTTAACCCCTGCTGGTGAGACACGAGCATCCCCAGCCCCAAGGGAAGCTGGCTCCTGGCATACATCACCCTCACAGGAGGATGTGAAGGTCCTCCTTGCCACAGGACAGGGTCACCTCGGCTCTGAAGCAGGATATCCCATCTCCTGGACCCAGCTCACTCCTTCACACCAACTTTGCCCTTGGTAGTGTGCAGCACCGCTGCGCTGCGGCTTTTGTAACCCTTTTAATGACATTATCCCTGCCATGAGATCAGACCCACAGCTTGGGCACGGCTGCAGACCCTGTTCAAATGGTGTCAACACAAGCTCTGTTTCATTTCAACAGCCTGAGCTGTGCTAACGATGGGAACAGGCTCTGCACAGCGGTGGAAACACCCCGTTCCCCAGAGGAAAGCAATTCTGCTGCTGCAGGCAGCAGCCCAAATGTCAAGATAAGAGCTGTGACCCACTGAGGGACTCAGATGCCTCCTGAGTCACTCCATGGGCAACGTGAAACCCATGAAGTGCAATCCCGCATTTGCTGGATGTCTCTTCCAGCTGCCCTGTGGGGAATCGCAGGCCGGCCGCCGCTCCCAGCTTCACTTCTAATGCAGGTCACAGGACATGGGCTGGAACATCACAACAGGGACACCAGGACACTGCGCCACACCGGGATGCTGGAGCCCAGCCCCAGCAGGGGTGCTACTGCAGATCTCTCGGATGATAAGTCCTTGTGTGCTCTCATAAGCTCCAGTCCACTCCGATGTGAGGGCCAGGGAAGCAGCCTGGCCCCAGGGCTGCCAGCGCTGCCCCTCCAAATCTTCCCTTCCAGAAGGGGAGCGATGCTGAAAGCACTTCCTGAACAGACCTGGCTGGGAGCCTGTGCCTCACCTCTGCACCACAGGGAAACCATTCACCACTCTCCACAGCAGCATTCAAGCAATCCTGGCATCTTCTTCCATAAATCCCAGCACGACCATTGAGGAGCATTTTCCTTGAAACGCCAAAGCCTCCCATGGGAGCCCCTTAGTCAGGGCTTTTCCCCACCCAGAGGGAGGGTCTGTAGGGAGGATCCAAGCCTGCTGCCAGCACACCATGAGTCCACCATCCCCTTCTGCTGCTTCTGTTTCCCAAATGAGTGCTCTGCAAAAAAAAAATCCTACTCCATTTTCTCAACTGGGTGCTGTGCTCCTCCCCGCACCGTGATCAAAGCTCTCCTGGCTGCCTTGCAAAGCAGCCTGCAAAAGACCAACATGTCCCAGCCACTTCTCCTCAGGAGCTTTGACCTGGCTTTCCCGGCTCATCTGAGGAACCAGTGACCCCACAGAGACATGCATCCCCAGCAAAGAAAGGTGATGCAGGAGTGTAACGACCCTGGGGATGACCTTGCTTCTCTTGGGCCTCTGTTTATTGCTTCTGCAGTAACCAGTGACCCTGACAAAGCCCAAAACCATCAGAATTAAGTTCTGTTCCAAATTCCTCTCCGTTAAGCTATGAATCTTAGCACTAGCAACCTCCACCAGCATCTCCTGTCCCTCCAAGGCTTGCAGCTACACATGGACAAGCAGCACGGTGCCTATGGGACAGAGAAAGCAGAGAGCCAGCCTAGGCTAAGGAACCACTTAAATCCCATTAATTTAAGTAATTAAATTAATTACTACCAGTAATTACCTTTAGAGAAGCCAAACAGGAGGTAAGGGAATCCTGGCCAGCCCAGCAGCTGGGCTTGAGCCAGTGCCGACCCCGGGGAGGCACAAGGGGAGGCAGGAGAGCGATGGCAGAGCCAGGCAGGGCAGACCCGAGCGCAGTTTCACTACAAACCACCTTTCCTGGGATTTCCTCCACCAGAGCTTTTTCCAGTCTCCAGAGGGTCAGGCTGGCGTGCTGGAGCCTGCTGTGCCCCGCAGCCATGCAAAATGCACTGCTCCACTCCTGTACCACAGACCACAGAGGCCACGAAAGACAAGGGGAGAAGCACAACCTCACACTGGGGAGGTGGCAGACGCCCGCCTGGGTGAATCCAGAGCTCCATCCCCCACTCCACACTACATTTACAGCTTTTCTGACAGCTGAACAGTGCATGCTCTGAGCCAAATTCAGTGAAACACTACAAGGAAATAAACAGGAAAGGGAAAAACAAAACAAACCAAAACACACCTCACTTGAAGATGCCTCAGTTTCTTCCTGATGTGTTGTGAGGAGGGCTGCCTTATCTGTCAGAGTAACTTGAACCATCCCTGCTCAGGGCTGGGCTGTGCACGCTCAGCACAGGCAAGAGCAGAACATGAGTTTTGTGGGGACACGTCCCCCTCTCCAGCTGAGCCTTGCTCTGTGCACCCCTGCTGATGCTTACACAGCTCCTGACACATTGGCAGCTTCCAGCACTGCCCTGGCTCTGTCACCTCCCATGGGCAACCCAAGGGAAACATCCAGGATCTGGATGGTGCACCCTGGCCATGGAGTCAAAAAGATGGGAGGGAAGGTGATCCTGCTCCTTTCCACAGCCTCCGTGCACAGCCCAGGGGACCTGCCCACGGCGAGGGCAGGCACGCTGCTCCCCAGCACCCAGCATGGGCTTGGTGAGGATGGGGCTGAATCGGGTGCCCAAGAGGAGCTCCCAGGGCAGGGAGCTGCAGGGCCCTGGGTGCAGGGGGAAAGAGGATGGCTGTTGTGTGCATCCAAACCTGGCTGCCAAGGGGGGACAAGCTTGTCACCCTCTGTGGCACGTGTCCCTGGGGAGGTGTGGCAGGGTGCAAGCCCTGGGTGCTTCCCAGCACCCTTGGGGCAGATGGGAGAAGCCGTGGCAGGGGAGAAGCCCCATAAAACACACTCGGCCTCTTATCTTGGAGCTGTTTGCTGTGAGATAGGGTGGGTTGGGATGTCCGGGACAGCAAAGCAGCACATGAAAAGTCCTTGTTTGCAGGATCCCAGCTGGGGATGGGGCTCACAGTCTGCAGATCTTCATCCTGGCTGCAAAACAGGAGTGCTCTTCTCTGTCCCAAAGCCAAGCACGCCCACCCAAGGGGGCCAGGATCCCAGCGAGGCAGCGACCTTCGCATGGAAATTCCCACAGTATCTAGTGAGGAAGTCAGCCCTGGTGCGCTGGGAACGTTGGCTGGTGTGGTGCTCATCAGCCATGCTCAGCTTCTAAAGCAGGAAGACAGAGCATTGTAAAGCAGATTATACTGATTTGCTTTCGCACAGTGCAGTGAGCGGCAGAAACAGGAAACATCACAATGGTCTTCAGTGTACCGGAGATGTCTCAATTGTTATACTCAGCAATACGCCTGTTCCTATTAATGTGCCATTCAGTTATTTAGAAGACCAACAGAAAAGCCCTGCCAAAAGGGACGGACATCTTTTTGCTCGTTCCACCCGCCTTTGAAGCGGCCCTGCCCAAATCAGGAGGGTGAGCGATCTGAAAACCGACCGTGCCGGATTCCCGACGTATGGGGGGTGGCTCAGCGCTGCAGAGACAAACACCCCCCTTCAGAGGAGCTCATTAAGCTATTCCAGATGTGAGCCAGCCAAGTTGTTATGTCAACAAGGAAATAAGCGGCAGAAAACTGCTCACGATATCCAACCGCTCTGGCCTGAGGTGAGGAGGCACATTCCTGCGCCGAGCTGCAAACACACCTTAGTGCACGGAGCTGGGATCAGCACCAGGAAAACCAGTTTCTTCAAGACGAAGAGCAGAGTCATTCCACAGCCTTCGAGGTGGCAGACGCCGACCAGCGAGCACTTCAATGCAGAACGATTTCTTTTGTCCGTTTCTTAGAAATAAGCAGCGCTGAGAACAAACTCAACAAACCCCAGGGAAGTTTCAATGGCTCGTGTCATGGTGCCCCTCCCCGTGTTTCTGCCCCCACCAAATAGGTCAATGAATCCATCTGGAAGCAGAAACATTGTTGGAAATGGGAAATAACAACTGAAAGGCAGCCTGTGGTATCTGGCCTATGCCAGACATTGTAGATCCCCAGCACTGAGGTTCGCAACAATGTGGGGCACGTGGGGAGCAGCAGCTCATCCACAGAGCTCAAAGCTCAGCTGAGGAAAGTCATGGGACGTGGCAAAGTTCATCCAGAAAATGATCCCTTTGGAGAAGCAGCCCAGATCTGGAATAGTCTCATTTGGTCAGGGCCATGGGATTGCACAAAGACATCAGCTCATAGAGTTACGGAGTAATTTGGGCTGGAAGGGGCCCCTCTGGTGGTCTCTAGTCCAAGACCCTGTGCAAAGCACCCGGATCAGCTCAGGGCCATGCCCAGTTGACCCTGAGCATCTCCAGGGATGGAGATCCTAATACCTCTCTGGGCAAGTTAATATTTGACCAACCTCACCATAATAAACTGTTTCCTTGTATTTAATGACAATTTCCCACATGGAGTCCCCGTCTAACGACATTCACTGCCTGGGCTCGAGGAGGAGCTGGCGCACCAGCCCCACGCTGACGTAGTCACACGACTGTACATAAAACAAGCCCATACCCAAAAAGCAACTGCACCAAAGGAGGAACAAGGTGGGACTGGGCCCACGGCCAAGAAGTGGCTCCACCACAGCAAATAGGATGTGGTAGAGCAACTCGTTCATTCCTTTTTTGATCCTGAGCAGCTAAAGGCCATCTTTTATAACAGCCTCAGCATTTTAACTTGAAATAATGGACCTCCAGTCATCCCCCTGTCCTAGAAGCCCACTTTGAGCCCTCAGCTGGATGTGGCAGCCCACCCAGGTGAAGGACACAGTCCACAGCCTCCCACCACGGGCAGGGTTTGCTCTTTCCTCGCAGATGGGGCGTGCATGGGGGAGGGATGCTAGCACAGGGGAAAACCGTGGGCGGCTGAAGAGAGAAGCAGCAGAGTAAAGGTCAGCAGGGCTTGGCCAGCCTCCCTTGGAGACAACCTCTGAACTCTCTCGAGGCACCATGGGAGAAAACTCAAGACTTCACTTCCCTTTCTCACCTTGGCCAGCCCTTGCTGTAGGCAGTGTAACACCAGCACAGGGAACAGCACAGCACGGCCCTGGGGATCACCAGCCCAAAATCTCCAAGAGACACCCAAAAAGCCCTGGAATCAGTGACACCTGAGTGCCCCTGAGGTGTCCCAGGAGATGGAGCTCCCAGGGACTGGGTTAATGCAGGGATGATAAGGGCGATGCTGGCCCTGCACCCCAAGGAAAGATGATCTGGCAGCTCCAGTTGGATGGTACTGTTACACACTGGAAGCAATGGGATAGTGGCGTGCAATGCTGCTGCTGGCCAGAAGCCCTTACAGCTAGCACCCCCAAAAATGCCCCGGATATTTCCAGCTGCTGCTGCAGACACTCACCCTCCTGGAGCTTGACACTCTGCAGGTAGAGAGGGTTCCTCAGCACGTTGCAGCGCCCGGGCTCGTCCTCCTTGGTGAAGAGCAGCAGGTCGGAGTAGACAAAGAGGGTCACCTGGAAGCACAAGAGCAGCAAAGAAATAGTTGTAAGGAATTGATCTCTGGGCTCCAAGACAGTGTCCTGGAAAGGTCCTCTACCCCAGAGAGACGCACCAGCCATCACAGGCAGCCCAGGCACCCCTTCCCTAAGGGGCTGATTGCTGCTATGCCCCTCAAGGTGCTCCCAGCAAGCTTTGGACCAGGCTACCCCCACTTGGCAGCCACCTACCGAGGTCTGTGGAGTCCTGTGACAAGAGGGATAAACCTGCCCGACAGTTGAATGCCATGCAAACACACCCCTCTGCTCTCTCATGTCACCTCCCATTTACATAAGTTATAAATCAGAGGAGCAAGGAGGAGGAAATAAGTCGCCAAATAATCCCAGCACGCTGGAGAAGTTGTAAACTAAAAGTAAATGTGATCTCTCTGGACGCACTCAGGAAGGAGCTGCTCGCTGTTCACAGCCTCTGCGTGTCCCGTTTGAGAACAGTAACAGTTTGGCTTTCACAGAAAGAACCCATGAGAGCAGCAGCAGGGAACAAGCTCAACACCTTCAAACCACGCTGACGGGTGGAAAGCAAACACTGCACCGGGTCTGCCCAGCTCTGTGCTTGAGCAGTGACTCAAGCGGCCTAGAAGCTGGGACTGACTCCAGAGCAGTGGTAAAAGCCCACAACTCAAAAAGCAGATTTTGTGCTGCTTCTGGCTCTGGCCTGAGGTCCCCAGTTCAATCAGTGTGGATTTCTGGGATCTTTAAAATAAGAAGAATGAGCTTGTCCACTGTACCAGAGATCCTCAACACAGAAACCTGCTGGGGAGCAAGTGTCTTGGTGCAGTCACTGCACAAGTAGCCAAAGTTTGAGCCTGTCCTGCTCTCCAGCAAAACTCAGAAGATGCCAGGAAGCGGTTGCAATGTGCCAGGGGGCACACTGGATACCAGGCCCTCCACGTACCACCAAACCACGAGCTGCTTTCGGCACAGGACGTAGCATGCGAGCACGTTGCTACTTTTAACCGCTCCTTGGGATGCCCCCAAAAACCTCCCACAGCAAAGGGAGAGCTGCTCTGCAACACCGAGCAACAGCTACAAAGGTTTTGTGGCCTTTTAGCAACCCTTTTGCAAAACCAGAAAACAACCCAGGGGCTTACTGGGAGCTGGCACCACTGCCACCACCACATCGCTCTCCAAAAGGGTGACTTTGCCCTGGACAGGGTCTGAGTCACTGTTCATGGGGACACAGAGCCAGCACAGTCCGTGTCCGTGCCCAGTGGCTGAGGGACACGTGTCAGGAGGAGGACGAGCTGGGTAACGCTTGATCTCATGGTGGTGAGTCTCCCGCCAGGGCAGCACCATCTGGCTTTGAAACCAGAATCAAGCCCTTTGCCACACAGTTGCTCTTTGCTGTGCAAATTCATTTTTGTGGGGTTCTTAATACACACCAAAGGTACTGGCATAGCTTTAACTGACAACGAAAGCTGGGAGTGTCTGTTTTCCTCTGTAGTATTTGGAAAATCCCTTCCTCTGCCCTCAACACACTCTTGGCCTGGTGCCTACATTCACCTTCTTCATTACTTCTGACCTTATTGCTAACACAAGGAAAAACAAACTACAAACTGCACTATAAAACTTTCTCCTATGCCTGGGACACGTCTGGTGCCATCCCAGGTCCCTTGGCCTCAAAGGAGGGACGTACAGGGATTTTGAGATTGGCAACACGAAGTGAAAGAGATAAAAGCAAGTGGTCTTGCTGGAAACGGAGGAAAGAAAATGAAGACCTAACACACATGGAAGTTTAAAGGGTAGAAGAAAAGATTAGAAGGATCAGGAGGAAAAAAAAAACCTCATCACTTCAAAACCAAGCAGATTTAAATAGGGAATCATGGAAGCAAATACACTAAAAGTATTTACAGGTAATGCTGTGGTTTTATGGGAAGATGGGAGTGATGGAAATCAGGACGTAGAGAAGATAAAAGCACCCAGTGTGGGTTACAAAGAGCATCTCCATTAGATGCTTCCAGGAAGACACCTGATTTCAGAGCAGCTCCACACAGAACAGTTTTTAGAGGTCCCTCTGCTCCTCCAAGTTGCTGGGGGAAGAGAACAAGGGCATCCCTTCCACCCACACAGCCAGAGCACTCCAGCACTGTGAAGCCCAGGGCTCCAGCAGAGCCCACACTCAGTGGTGGGAGCGGGACGGGGTCTGCGGGGCACAGCACTTACCCCATCTGCAGTGCTGAGCATGGGAAACTCAAATCATGGGGAGCCTAAGGCAGCAGCAGGCTGGGATACGAGGAGAGGGCTGGAGGGGACAATCTGGAGTCTGCCTAGGGCTGCCACCACACTGCTGACGAGCTGTGACACGTCCTTAACAGCCCCTTGCAAACAGATCTGCTACCCACCATGAAAAATCACAGGGTTCATAAAAGCAAAAGAGCAAACAAAAAAGAAACACAGCGCCTGAACTCATCCAGGCAAGACACAGAATCCACCAGGGCTGCTCCTTGGAGAGTCACAGGATCTTTGTGTATTTCCCAGAACTCATTTCCTACTCCAAAAGCAGAAATAAAACAACTGGCATGATGTATGGACTCCTCTGAAGACAGCGACAGGCACATCTGGGTCACGACTGGAGCAGTCAAGGCCACACAGCAGTTGTCACAGGCCTTTTAGGAGGTTGTGAACAGATTTTACAGGGGTAAAAATATGTTTATAGAGCATTATACAATGTCTCATACACTGTAGCAAAGCTGCTTCTGCTGGTAGATCTGACTGACTACAGACTGTAACTGGAAAAACATTGTTACAGAAGGAAGGGGCACATTTAAAGTGTTTCCTAAAAGAAAACACGAGAAAATGAAAGCTGGGAGGGAAGGTGGAAAGCAGCAGGTCAGTGTGCTTCCCCAAGGTGAGAACAGGACATCAGCACTGGGACTGCTACGGAGCCCCACCACAGGAAGAAGGAAGCAATAACCTTGCCTTGTAGAGAAAAATACAGTAACACAAAAATAGTATGAAAAGATGCCCTGAAATTAAGCTTTGCAGCCAAAGTCCCTTCATGTTCAAGCTTAAGAATAGTTAAATTCTCCTAACCCTGTCCGCTTCTGCTCACCTACACCCAGAGAGCCACCACCACCAGGGTGACAGCAGGGAGGAGTCTGCAGGTTGGAGCTGCAGCAGCACATCAGAGACATCAGCACGATGGGTCAGTGCAAAC